TTTATCAAGCTTGTATATTTAAGTTCAGTAATTTCACTTAAATGACAATTAATAGGTAATATTCATTGCCATTTAAGTGAAATTACTGAACCTAAATATACAAGCTTGATAAAAATGATAATTTTAGAAGAAAATTTCAAATGGCACTTAGAGGCTTTTGCATCTAAACTCTTCATATATATTTCTTATAACAAGGTTTACATAAAAAGCAAAATAGCACATTAAAGGCTATAAGCAGATTAAATGTGCTAAAATAAATAAAACCCTACATTTTTTTATCCCTTACCCTCAAGTTGTTCCAAACCTGTATAAGTTTCTGTCTTGCGTTGAACACAAAAGACGATATTTTAAAGAATGTTGGTGATTAAACTGTTGACAGTTGTCACTGACGTCCATTTAGGGAAAAAAACATAATAACATGGAAGTCAATGACTACTGTCAACTGTTTAGTTACAAATATTCACGTCAGCAAAGTATATGAGAATAATGAGATAAAATATTGGCGGTGCACAAATCTCTAAACGTATCTTACGATTGACAGAAATATAAGAAGCATGTGGGAAATGGTAGCAACATCAACACCGCCCCCCACACCATATACAGCTCATGCTGTCGTCTGGAAGGATGACTATCAAACCATAGAAGGACAGTCATGCTCACTACGGACTTAGGGATAGCCGGAGACACGCCGCTTCACTAGGAAGTCACCCCTCGCTTGCCCTGCAAAAGCCTAATATGGTTGAAGGATGGGGGAAAACTCCAACTGAACATACACACATCCTCAATAGTGCGCATGGGGACAAACACCTAGAGTATAAAAGGTTTTCATGGGTGAGTCAGTCCGTGACTGGATCCATCAGCGGTTGTGTTCTGCACTGAGCCTCATCAGAGAAAGGTAAGAGAGAAGGTTTAAACCCATGTGCTACTTACTATATTGTCACGCGGACTAACAGGAAAACTTTTGAGGCAAGTCTACGAGATATAGCTAAAGGGTTTGCAATAAGTTATAAACTGATCGAGGATAAAGAAAATTGCATAATTACGTTTTCATAAATGAATAATTGAATGTATTTATAATGAATTGTATATTTTGATTTGTCATTCATATAGCCTACATTTGTATACTTGACCAGACAGTATTTAAGAATCATATAGTAGATAATGAATATGTATTTAAAGAAAATTAAAAAATTAATATATATATTTATGACAAAATGTCTTAACTAATAATATTACTTTATTGTTAGTTGATTTATTCATTGTTTCCATTTCTACAGCACATGTTGTACACTAAAAAAGTCAAATAAACTTAATTTCATTTTAATTGCTGCCTTAAATTTGAAGTAAAATCAAAGGTAAAACCTGCAGTCATAATTGCAGTCATTACTGGATCATCACTTTTTAACCACTTGGAAATTCATTACTGATTAATAAAATTAAGTTTAAAACAAAGACTTATAAGATGAGTCATGAAACTGACTATATTCATGAAATGAGTCATGAAACTAAAACATTATGCCAAAAAATGGATGGAAACAAAGTGTTCTAATATAATGACAAAAACATTTTTCTATGTGTATATAACTTATGCATGCATTTCTGTAAAATCACTTAATAATTCGATTGAACTTTTTGCACAAGGCTGCACCCAATCCAATATTTCTTAATGTTCAATCTGAGATCACGCAAATATTTTACAAGGTGGTTTCGTATTTACAATTTTTTTTTTTTTTGGAAAAGAGTAAGCATGAACGTCTATGCCTAAATTTAACCATCAGCGGGGGGTAAGCAGAGCATACAAAAACGTACAAATCAGAATTCATAGGAATTATTCACCACAACATATACCGGTAGTTACAATTTGCCATTTGAGTGTGTTGTTATGTCCCTCATTAGAATCCATCAAGATGTGTGACGACGAAGAGACCACCGCCCTGGTGTGCGACAACGGTTCAGGCCTGGTCAAGGCTGGATTTGCTGGTGATGACGCCCCCAGAGCTGTCTTCCCCTCCATTGTTGGGCGCCCCCGTCACCAGGTATGTTGCATTTCGCCATTTTTAAATAATTAACAAGCTTTAGCTATAATAACATTTGCGACATTAAAAATTTCCTTTTTCTTCTTCCAGGGTGTCATGGTGGGTATGGGTCAGAAGGACTCATACGTAGGAGATGAAGCTCAGAGCAAGAGGGGTATCCTCACTTTGAAATACCCCATTGAGCACGGTATCATTACCAACTGGGATGATATGGAGAAGATCTGGCACCATACCTTCTACAACGAGCTCCGCGTGGCCCCTGAGGAGCACCCAACTCTTCTGACTGAAGCTCCTCTTAACCCCAAAGCTAACCGTGAGAAGATGACCCAGATCATGTTCGAGACCTTCAACGTCCCAGCCATGTATGTGGCCATTCAGGCTGTGCTGTCCCTGTACGCTTCTGGCCGTACCACTGGTGAGGCGATTATGTAACACCTAACACTCCCACTAATCATATATTTTGAGGGATCTAACATGCAGTGTTACATATAAGTCTTTTCTGACCTGTTTTTCTATATTTAAGGTATTGTGCTGGACTCTGGTGATGGTGTGTCCCACAATGTCCCCGTCTATGAGGGTTATGCTCTGCCCCACGCCATCATGCGTCTGGATTTGGCTGGTCGCGATCTGACCGACTACCTCATGAAGATCCTGACCGAGCGTGGATATTCTTTCGTCACAACTGGTAGGAAAATGCAATTTTTCAATTTCACAATCATTTCTGTGTTGTTTACATAAGATTTGTCACAACAACTCATCAAATTTCTTTTCAAATGTGTCTTTCAACTCATATTTGTTGCATTTGTTGAAGGATGCACAATATTTTAGTACCATAATGGTTATTGGCCAAAGATTTGTTTTTAATTGATCATATTACTCATTGTTGGATATACAGTAACGTTTTTTTTTTTTTTTTTTTTAAAGAAATTAATACTTTTATTAAGCAATAACGCATTAAATTAATCAAAAATTACAGTAAATTTCTATTTGAAATAAATGGTTTTCTTTCTAATTTTAAATTTCCAAAGGAACCAGAAAAAAGTATCAGTTTTAACAAAAACGCCTGTACAATTTTTGGTTTGTTTTGTTATATTATGTTGGAAAAAAACAACTGACTTACTTGTACACTCTGTTTACAGCTGAGCGTGAGATTGTCCGTGACATCAAGGAGAAGCTGTGCTATGTGGCTCTGGACTTTGAGAATGAGATGGCCACTGCTGCCTCTTCCTCTTCCCTGGAGAAAAGCTATGAGTTGCCCGACGGCCAGGTCATCACCATTGGTAATGAGCGTTTCCGTTGCCCAGAGACCCTCTTCCAGCCTTCTTTCATTGGTGCGTAAAAACAAACACTGTAAAAAATGTTGCATTTTTCCATACAACTTTTAGTTTGATTAATAAGGTGTTTCTGGACAGGTATGGAGTCTGCTGGAATCCATGAGACCGCCTACAACAGCATCATGAAGTGCGACATTGACATCAGGAAGGACCTGTATGCCAACAATGTCTTGTCAGGTGGTACAACCATGTACCCAGGTATTGCTGACCGTATGCAGAAGGAGATCACCGCACTGGCCCCCAGTACAATGAAGATCAAGGTACTGTAATGCATCTGTGGTTATCTTTTAACATGCTCCTGTTCCCTATCGATTGAGCAATATGCATCACTGACATGCCCATGTGTCTCCTCAATCTTACAGATCATTGCCCCACCTGAGCGTAAATACTCCGTATGGATCGGTGGCTCCATCCTGGCTTCCCTGTCCACCTTCCAGCAGATGTGGATCACCAAGCAGGAATACGATGAGGCAGGCCCCAGCATTGTCCACCGCAAGTGCTTCTAAATCCATCATCTGCATCTGTTTGCTGTGGATCAAGCAATAATAGAGAATACTGGACATTCATTATTATGGGACAGCTTTGGTACAGATATATTTTGTACCCATGTGTTACATACCCTGGATTACCAAGCAGGAACACGATGAGGCAGGTCCCGGCATTGTCCAAAGAGACACAATCAAGATCCAGAAAACTGTTATACCGTGTTGTCTATCACAAGACTGTAATCTGTACATAAATAGTCATTAATTTATTAAAGCCCATTATTTGGTTTATGTGACATGTCTGTGTTAATGAATTGTTTGACTTGAAACTGGTAATTTAAGCCCGGTTTTACAGACAGGGCTTAGATTAAGCAAGGATTAGGCTTTTGGTTAAATTAGGTAACTTTTATAAACGTACCTTTAAAAAAAATCATTGCTGGTGTGCATCTTGAGAACAAAAACAATGACATTGACATATTGTAAGATATGTCGGTTGAAACAGCTCAAACATACATCTTAGTCTGGGAAAACTGGGGGTTAGTGATCTAGAGTGTTGCTGAAAAGCAAAAAAGTTTAATCTAATTATTTTCAGGAAGCATAGCTGATGAAGTAAGATTCATAGTGCAGTTTGCATTGTGTACAAAGTATTTAAGTTTACAAAAATAGGAAAAGTCATCATATGGTCACACAAAAGTTAATTGAACCCTTACAACATTCCTGAAAATAGAGAAAGTTGACCTCCTTCTGACCTGAATGGAATGAGCTACATTTCCCTCCTGAAGAACCAGGGTGAGATCCTCACCACGTTTTCAATCACATTTCAGATTTCAATTTGCCATGAATGAGTCACAAATCCTAAAACTAAAATGTGCCTGATTCAAAATCCTTGAGGTCAAAAAGGTGATTTTTTTTATTGGAGGTTTTGGAGGTGTGGTCTGGTTATTCCAGACAGGCAACATCGTCCATGTTATGTGTGAATACAACGCGATAAATAATGACAGTAAGCACAAATGTTCACGTGAGTATCGCAGTGTAACGTGTTATGTTGTCGTTTAAAATATTGTTCAAAGGTTATAAACAACGACACGTATATACAAATTAATACTTTTAAGACCACACGCACCTTCTCTGGGACTTCAAGTTTTAACCGTAGAGAACAACACCTGTTGGTCCCTTCGAGTGATTTCCAGCGCCTTCACCACAAGGCGGAGCTATAACCGTGTTTTTACCTTTTACAAAGCAAGGTTGACGTCTGCAGACTACAAGCGCCATCTGTTTAGCTTCTCGATCCTGTCTTAATCAAAACGGTAAGTAAATATAATATCAAAACACGACTTGTTACTGTTGACAGGCTTTTATGGCACAAATCTTCATTCAACTTGCTTCCGCTCATTGCGGTCACATGACACTCGCTTAAAAAATTAGTCGACGTTCTAATGCAGCTTTAACCTCTATTTTAATACAATGCCACACAACGTTTGATTGCATTTAGATATGCATTGTGCCAAACGCTGATATTTAACGTTGACTACTTACAGTATTTAAAGAAAGTCTTTCGTTTCTCTGTACAGTCGCACTGTCGATGGCAGCACATTATATATGCTACGTATAAAATGTACTAATGTCTACCCTTTTATTCGAGTGTTTTACTTTAGCAAACTGTATTACTGAAGTCAGCATTCATGTTTATCGTCACCTTATGAACCCTTTATGCAAATGCGTAAAGAGGTTCAGAGAGCTCCGAGATGACGCCATAGTTTAAGTAGGTGTGTATACGAAGGGGGCGTGTCAAAGAGAGAAACTCAGCGATTGGCTTTCGCTTGCGTATTACAACTCTGTTGCCATAGTAATTTGGTTTAAAAGTCTGGCGCGAGGAGAGGGCTGATTTGGAATAGAATGATTGCCTTTCAACAGACTGCGCTGTAATGTCACCTTTATGTTTCTCTCTAGTCGAACGATAGTGAAATATGGTGACGAAGAGAATTAGGTCTGAATACATGAAGAAATTTAAAGATCCGAGATGGGACACCTACGCGAAATGTTATGAGGATTTGCTGAACTACAGACTGTCAAGGCGTCTGTTGGAGCAAGCGCACAACCCTTGGTTTTGGGGAGAATGGGGAAGCGAGACAGGCTCCAGTGGCAAATCTACTCCTCTAAGTCGGAATAAAGTCGAACCTCTGAGGATCCATGATGAGAAACCAGAAAGATCTGCATGTGTGACACCAGAACCACACGCAGAAGTTCAGGACACTGCAGACAGCAGTAAGTCCTCCTGATCGAGCTAACGTTACAGGTTGTCATCTCTCATCTTATGTTGTTTTTCTTTAATAATAGTTTGTGTGTTCGAGTGTTGTTGTTGTAATCTAAAACTAAATATACTTATAATATACTTATACATATATAAATATATCTTCGTTAATTAAAACAAAATCTAAATATTAGATTAAAACTTAAACTTGAATGAAAATCGCCTATAAAATAAATATAAATATTAAAACCAAACAAAAAAATGACAAAAGCAAAATTACTCAAATTAAAATGTGTATATATATATATATATATATATATATAAGCAAATTTGATAAATACTGTAATAGTGTATAAATAACACTAGAATAACTAGCTCATAAGTCAATGTTCATAAGTCTCACATTCTGCAGTATGCAACTCAGTGTTAAGGATTTTTCCTTAATATTTATACTGACAATGACTGTGAATAAAAAATAGTTTTTCTATTTTCATTGAACATCCATATTTATAGTAGTAAATTATATGATTATTATCAATGTTTTTATTGATCTACAGCTATAATACAGCTACATATGTGTCTTAAATTCTTTGTAAATTATGACATACAGAGATAAACTTTACTGATTTGTTTATAATGTTAATATTAATACATTCTAAAGATGCTGATGCTAAAACCTTATTTACAGTAAATAACTTTAGCGTAGTGAAATATTTACAGAAGCACAATCATCATTTCATTTTCAAAGTAACGTTTAAACCATGAAAACCTTAATGCCAAAGACACACTAATATGTGTTACTTGATTAAAATGACTCCAAACACTTTTTCTGTTTTCTCATCAGAGCTAGTTACCATAATTGGTGATCAGCATCATCAAGAAGGGCAGGAAGAGAATGCCAGAGAACGCATTCCTGCTCTCAACCCAGAAACTGACACGAATATCCTGAATACACCAAAGAGCAAACGCCGCTCTTCACACAAGCATACAAGATCAAAGGTCAAGCCTCATGTCACCAAAGACCCTGACAAAGAGAACCGTCACCCTTTTGCCCTGTATGGCTCAGGAGAGAGGCGGACAGATATGGCTTCTAAGAAAACCCATAATGTTGGACCTGCAACATCAACCGCAGAGGTGAGTATCCTTTCATATCATAAGAGGCTCTTGACCAGTAAGCAAACTTCTGAAAAAAAGACTAGGATAAAACAAATATTCCTTATAAATTGAAATTCTCTCTTGGATTGTTGCAACTTTAAGGTCATCACCATCAATCAATTTCACGATGCACAAAATCAAAATACTTTTTTTCTTGTTTGAGAAGCAGCTTCACTCAGATATACGTCACAATCGAAAAGAAATGACTCTCAACTTCCATTTCATGCCAACTTTAAAGGGATGCAAATTCTGTCATTATATTACTACTACTTTAAATGTTTCAAATGACATTTGTCCATCAAAGTCAATGTGGTCTAATGTTGTTTTGTGAGTAAATGAAACTAACCCTTCAATCTGTTTATCGTACCCATCTGTTTATCGTTTTTTCATGCCTACTTCATGCAGCCTTTCTTCTGTCTAGATCCATGAGTCAGCGTTGCGAGCAAAAACCAGACGGGAGGTGGAAAAACAGATGAAGAAATCTGACCAACAAAGAGCCAGATCTGCTGACTTCGAAAAGAACGCAAAAAAGATTGTTCCTGATTTCAACCCCTGGATCACAGAGTACATGCGCTGCTTTTCTGCTCGGTCTCGGTAGTATTGCTTTCAGAGATCCTTTAAAAATGTCTGTGACTGTATAAACCTCTCAGGCGAAACAACCCAAAACACTCCACGTAATAATGACTGGAGCATCTGTCCAGTTCACTTGCCTTCTTCCAGATGGGTTACAATAAATTAAACTCAAGGTTTTTTAGGGGTTTATTTACACCATGGATATGTTGCATTTACTGGTACATATGTATCAAATATGAAAACACAATCCATTGATGCTGCAGGGCAAACTGTCAAACAATCACATGCCTTGTTGATTTTGTAGGTTGCGTAGATTTACAGGCCATGACATTTACCAGTGTCTCTTTACACTTAGCAAAATAATTACTTAAAAGTGTTCAGTTATTGTCAGACAGTTAGAGACATATAATGTGATGTGTTGTAATGTTGTGTATTTTCTCCATTGTTTATATTAATTAACATTTAGGGTTAATGTAATGTAAAGAAATCTGTTTTGTATTTTTCAGAAATCACTTATTTAAATAGTCATTCCATTATATTAATATCCGTTTTCCTTGATATGAGCCAAATTAGATTTTACTTGTACATTCACTCGGTGCGTTCCATGTGTATTATGTTGTAAATAAAGTGTAAAAAGTCACTGGTATCTCAAGCATGAAACACAGCAAAATGACAAATCGTTTTTGAATGAGATCGTACATATTAAAGCCATTCCAGCTGTTCTTCATCAAGAATAACTTTCATTCATTGTCATATTATTTGGTTTTTAGTAGCACTCAGGTATTTCATGTTGTATTTATTTTTTGAGGAATAATGAGAGTGGGATATTTGTACACTTTATATAAGGATAATTTAACTGATTCTAAATTCAGTGGTTATAATATTTAGTTCATCATCTTTAATGGAAGAATGCATGTATTGTATGAACAAATGTACAGGTATTCCCCCCATATCATGTTTTATAGTCAATTCTAGCATGTATTACGTGAATAGTGTTGTTTTAGTGGAAAAGTATTGAAGCCATAAAGTTAATGAAGTACATTATGATGATGAATATGCATTCCACTGTCTGATTGGACGGCATTAGGTTTATGTGTTTAGATTTCAGCTTGTAAAACTGAGATGTGTTTAAATGTGTAACATTTACAGTGCTATTTCACCACATGAATAGGTCACTAATAGTGATGAGATTGTTTTGTTTTCAGTCTTAATTTTGAACAGGTTGCTGTTTAGAGAGAGTTATTGGTATGTAAAAGTACAAAATAAAGTATAAAACTTTACATAAGCATATAATGGATGTGAAAGCATTTATGTTTGTAGTTTAGGATACTTTGTACACAGGCCTGCCATTAATATACGAAACTGTTCTCACTACTATGCACAAATTTATGATATCACCAACTCATTGGAGCATGCTGTTCCTGGACCTTATCCATGTGTCAGAGCCAAGGAGCAATGACAATATCTGGCATTATCTTCCTTATTCACTTTAATTAAACCCTTTAATTATTATTTATTTATTTTAAGAAAACTTGAATGTTAAGCAAAATAGGATTGGAAACTACATAAATTTTACAAACAGATTTTACATTCAGCAGCTAAATCAGACTTTTGATCAGTACTACAGAATTCCCTGACATGTTTGAGGTTCATGTGAAGCAGAATTTATGAAAAACGAGGAACTACCATTGAATGCATTGATAAACATGACTTGGCAATCTGCCTCATTTTAACAAATTGCCATTTTTACAAACATAAAATGATTGATATAAAGACAATGACAAGCAAAGTGAAGTGCTTTCACATTTTAGCATTCATTTTCGATGCAAGCTTATTTAAGATATGTCCATTTAAAATGTATAGAAGACCATGGAAAATATAGATTTAGAAAGTAAAATAATAATAAAAAAAGAAATTCTCGAAAAAAAGAATCACTTTAAATACGACAGTATCATTTCAACAAACACCTAAAAATGGGAATGCAGCATGGGGACACTTTATAAATATAGAGGCTGTAACACTGATATTGAAGCTGTCCATACTGACAATTAATTACAGTGTGATATGAAGGCAAGTGGGCGCTGGCTGACATTTTAAATGTAAATTACAATACAAGAACAAAACTTTTTGACAAATGTCAACCACTTTCTGGTATACTATCCTAAACCATCCTAACAATAATGGGAAAAAATAACGCTAATTAAAAGCGAGAATGCACATCGTTGATAATAATTACAGGTGCGTGCCATAGAGCAGTGATGCAGCTATATATATATGCTGTATATAGTCATTTATGAATATGTAGTAGTACTGCAACCATGAAACATGCTCCACGGTGATAATATAAACTCTTCTCTACACAACATCTACATACGGAAAAGGAAAAGACGGGGCTCAGTGCAGTATTCTCAGGGGCAAGAGCCAGATCTTTTAACTACCCTCAGGGTTTTGGGTACCACACATGTCTTTGCCTGCGGGCCCGAGGGGGAAAGTAAACATTTTCCGGATCCTTCAGGAAATTAAGGGGGTCCTCGGCATGTCAGAACAGAAGTGAAAGTAAGGTGAGGGAAACAGACGCTCCACCACGATGAGCCGTACATCACACGCCCCGACTACCGTCGTCCTCCTCGTGTTCACACAACCTTGGCCAAAGGACAGAAAAAGTGCAGAAAATCATATAGATGGTCTTTTCTGCTTTCTTCATGTCTACAAATTGAAGGTGTAGCTTCATAATCAGCCTTGATCTTCTTCAGATCTCTATATGAATCTCCTTGAAGATTCCATGAATCTCTATTTCTAGCTCGCATTCCAAATAAGGCACCTCGGAAACCTTGGAAAGTGCTTGAGAGGGCCGTGTATCTGGAGTTAAATATATCCATTCCTCTGACACTGTTTCTCGCTTAGCATTTGACCAAGTGGGAGAAGGAGGTCTGCTCTTAAGAGGCGGTGGAAGAAGGTAAAACATTTGACCGTGTGTGTGTGTGTGTGTGCGCGTGCGTGTGTGTGTGGGCTGGCGCTGAGGAATTATTACTTGTACGCAAGGCATGCAGAAGCAAACTCGAGCGGCATTTGGTTGGCGTCACTGACAAAAATAGCACCTCCTCTTGAAGAGAGCTCCTCCTGCGTCACGAAGTATACTGAAATCACTTTAAAATACAATTCAGTTCATTAGTATTAGTTCACTCATTAGGAATCATAAAGTTAAAAATAATTCAGGTTAATGTTCATTTATAAATATATGATTTTTTCTTTGGTGACATTGTTTATAATACATTAATTTTGCTTTATACAAACTGAAGTATAAAAATTAAATTGATATACACCATGTTAAAATGTTTAGGGTTGGTAAGTTTATTTTATTTTTTAAGGGGTACATTTAATTAATCAAAAATACAGTAAAAACATGAAATTCTGCAATTGTATTTAATTTGAAAACATATGTTAGTGTCCAGAAATCATTCCAATATGCTAATTTGCAGCTCAAGAAATATTTCTTATTATTATCGGTGTTGAAAACCATTTTTGAATGAAGTAGAAATATTAATAAATGCTGTAAAAGTACTGGTCATTGTAAGTTCATGTTAGCATTTACTAATGTTAACATCCAGAACCTTACTGTAAAGTGTTCCCAGGATTTTATACCGTAAAAAGGAAAACAAAAACACCCTTTTCAGGCGAAAAGGGTAATGAGACAATATAAACGCTAGCAGTGAACAAAAATAGATGAAAAATAATTTTCCTAATGGAAATATTAGGCCTCATTAAAGAAACCCAACCAGTAAATTTGTGTAAATTAATTTGTGTAATGTCAGATTCAATTCAATGCAACAATTTATACAAAAATGGTTTTAAAAACAATTTATACAATGTTCTATGTTTGTATTTTCAGACCTATTGTTTTTATTCTTTATTTTATCTTAGTTTCTTACACGGTTAACACAAAATTTCAAACTTAAGAATTTAAAAAAAACGTTTAAAATATGATTCAGTTATAGAAGGACACTGAACAGAAAAGAACCCTTAGCAGACTGAGCAAGACATAAATCTAATATGCAGGAAATGATGTTGTGAGCACAGTGAACGACTGTATTTGATTAAATCTGAATGCAGTGCTGCTATTTTTAGAAGATGATGCCATCATGAGTGGTACGGAAAAGAGGAAGAACAGCACCACCTTCTTTTAGAGACAAAAATTTTGATATTGCAACATGAAGAAAATTAGTAATAATAATTATTAGGAATGTGCGATATTGACAAAAAATGATTTTTATGGGATTTTATAGATAGCGATAATTAGACAATATATTGCTGTGTTTTTTTTTTGTGCGTGTGTGTGTGTTGGTACGTTGTCAGGTTTAGGACTGCCGTGGACAGCTGACTCCAAAAGTGATTTTTATTTTTTTTATCTTAGAAATTATCTTTTATTTTAAAATTGATTTGTACCTTTTATGGCCATTTTTACCATTAAATAGGTTCAAACAAATGCCTTTATTTGCCTTTGTCAAATGATTACATTTAATCAAATTCAATTAGAAGATGGAATCAGTATCAATAAAATTGATCTTTGCAATGCAGAGGAAACAGAAGTTGCATCTGAAGTGACATTAAAGGTATAGTTCACCCAAAATGAAAATTAGCCCATGATTTAGTCACGTTAGAAGTTTATGACATTATTCGTTCAGACAAATACATTAGGAGTTGTATGTCCTGGCTCTTCCAAGCTTTAAAATGGGAGTGAATGGCTGTATGTCTCATGAAGTCATTCAAAGCACATCCATTCCTGGGTGAACTATCCCTTTAAGATGCATTTACACAGACTGCTGCAGCTCAGAGGGGACATTAATGCATTTAACCTGCAGTTACAAATGCATAAATAAGGTTTTGAAGTTTAACATAAAATGTTGAATACTGATATTTGAAACTATTAAACAAAAATTAAAAGATACTTTAAATGTGAAATTAAACAACCTGTAGGTGGCAGCAGGTCACTTAATAAGTGAGTCATTAGCTGCATCCAAAATCACACACTTCTTTACTATACAATTAATATAGGGCAAGATTCTGAAGTGTGCATACTGGACACTTTACTATCCCATGAGGCCATGGGAGAGAATTTGTGAATGGCAGTGAAGCGACGCAACTGATGCTGGAAGGTCACAATGCATCCGGATTACATTCATACTATTTAGTACATACTTTTTTTAGCGGTCGTGAAGTGATGACAGCCCTCTTATTACATATAATACGGAGGTATTTTCCCTCCTTATCTTGAAGACTTAATCACACAGTGAAATTGTGGACACTAACTCTCTAGACTACATCACATAGTGTATGAGTGCACTCTCTATATGCGTATTTGTAAAGTGAGGGACATACTCTATGTCAGATCACACATCGTTAAAACAAAAATCACGATATTCTCGTAGACAAAATCACACCCCTAATGAGTATTGCACATGAAAATGCTTAGGAACTGCTGAAACCCCTCAGAACAGAGCTTAGACAACCTTCTAATATTAAAGCCTCAAAAATGAAAAGCAAGCAGAGAGAAGTCAAGCCTCTAGTCTAGACCTTCACCTGGTTGGTCAGTTGTCTGGGATCTTTGTTAACATCCACACTCCTGCACGCTCTCTGCCTGAGCCCGCCTGGGAGAACGCAGCTGCCGCAACGCTGCATCTCCGTACTGGATCCCGGAACCCATCCGCTCCGGGTCCAGCTCTCCTACACAAACAAATGACAAGCTCAGCAGCTTGATTCACATGTCTTTATATGCTTATAAGTAAGAGCACAAGGCACTGGTCTTTTTGTACCTGACTCTATTTTGTTAAGGATTTTTCGAGCACACTGCACAAAAGCTTCCTCCACATTCTCCCCTGTTAGTGCACTGGTCTCCAAAAACATGAGCTCTGAAAGTAAACATAAAAAAAAAATTACATCTGTTTTTTAAAATAAATAATTTGCAGAAATGAATGCATTCACAAAAAGATTTTAATATTGTGAATATTTTGCTATGCTAATTTTTATTTAATAAACTGTTTATTTAGTATTTATATGCTATAACAGTATTTAAAAATATTTAGAATTAGCTTGAATTTTTATATTTTCAGTTGTCGTTTTGTTATGTGCTTTTGCCATTTTTATTGGTTTTTGTTTTATTTAAATATTTGTATTTCTATTCAGTTTTATCTTCTAGTAATTCTACTTGAACATTTTATTTCAGTTAGTTGCCAAAGAAACATTACCACATTTTGTTCGGTTTTGAAGTTTTTAATCTAATATTGATTTTTACCCCCAGCTTTATTTCAGTTAATGCAAACCATTTTAATTAGTTAGTTTTTTTAGTTAACAATTACACAGATCCATAAACACTGGCAATACACCAATAACCAATCAGGGTTTACTCTCCGAATAGCCCTTGTAATCTCGATGCAGCCAGTTGTGAGTCCACACGTTCACTAATGGGCTCATGTTTGTTAGTAATTCTATACTGTAGTGGGGTGACCTCTATTGGCACAGTCACAATATGCAAGCCGATCAATAGTAACCAGCAGGTATCTGCTAGTCTGGCATACACACCATTCTCTTGAGCGAAACGCGAGGCCTCCAGGAAGGTGACTTCACGGTCAGCATCCAGATCCTTCTTATTTCCACACAGTATAATCACTATGTTCTGGCTGGCCAACATCCGAGCATCTGTCAGCCAGTTAGTCAGAGCGTTGTATGTTTCCCGACTAATATCCAGAGACAGAAAGTGTGAGAGATCAATACACTAGTCTAGGCAAACATCCAGAAATATATGAAAATCTGAGACAATAGTCACACACCCATAATATAATGCAGAGGAACTGGACATACAAGTGTGACTTTACCTAGTAATATCATATACAAGAAGAGCCCCTGCTGCCCCTCTGTAGTAGCTGCGTGTTACAGACCTGAGGAGAACAAACATTTGCACAAACAATTAAACCTCTGTAAGGTCTACAAGAGTTTGCCATAATAACAGCTGGTTAAATCTAGTGGTAAACCAATATATCAATCAACCAATTTAATGGCTGATATTTGGTCATTTTAGAGCTACCCGCAACTGGCAATTAATCAACAGATAATGGTAATAAATACTTTTATTCAGCAAAGATGCATTCATTTGATCAAAAGTGACAGTAAAGATCTTAACATAGTTGTCAAAATATTTATATTGCAAATAAATATGCTGTTTTTTGGAATTTTATGGAACCTTGATAATAAGACATATTTCTTGAGCAGCAAATCAGCATATTTGAATGATTTCTGAACGATCATGTGACACTGAAGACTGGAGTAATGATCATGTCATCACAGGAATAAATTACATTTTTAGATACGTATATTCAAAGAGAAAACAGTCATTTTTAATTGCAATAACATAACACAATATTGCTGTTTTACTGTGTTTTTTAATCAAATAAAAGCAGCCTTGGTGAGCATAAGAGACTTATTTAAAGAACATTACAACAACAAAAAAAATCTTACCAACCCCAACATTTATTATTCAAAGTATACAACCATAGTGTATATTTGATTTAATTTTGAGTAAAATTATTATTATTGATATAAATACTATTAAAATAATTACTATTTATCTAGAATTGATTAGATTGTGAACAATGGGCATGAACACAAAGACAAATGCAAGACATTAATGTCCAAATTACGTTACTGACATTAAAATTTAAATGGTACTCTGGGTTGTATATTGGTTATTATATTAGCACTCACCCACCCTGCTCTCAGTCTAGATAACATCACTAGGCACTGAAGAATCAATATTAACTTACCACTAGTCAAATCAAATGTAAAAATTTTTTTTAAATTATGTAACTGCAATGAAAAATTTATCTGAAATAAAATATAAATATTAGATGAGAAACTACATTTAGATATGAAGCATTGGAAACTTAACGCAACACTAAAACTGAATTAATAATCTTTTTAAGAAGCTTTAAATCAATGTGTAAATAATTTGTGTCACATTAGTATATTTTCATTGTAAATGTATTTTGGCTCTAGGAAGAAGCTGCTGGCAAAAGTTCCGTGCAAATTAAGCATTATGTTTACAGCGTTGACAAATTAATCTGTGTGAGGTACTATAAACTACATGCAATCTGGAGTCCAATCACTCCCTTGCGAAATGCTGCACCATCTGACTGCCTGAGAACAACATTTTCATCATGAGTCATATCTCACAGTGGTCACAACAAACACAGCCAATATAAGAAGGAAAAAGATTTAGAAAAATAACACACCTGAAACGTTCCTGTCCTGCTGTATCCCAGATCTGGAGCTTGACAAACTTATTGACCACACTGATTATCTTTGAACCAAATTCAACCCCAATAGTGTGATTCGAGTCATCTTTGACTAGAGGAAAAGAGGGAAGACATTAGAAACAGAACATTGGCGGGTGTAAAATTTCATTTTTTTTAAATATTTATTGGTAAGATAACAGAAAATTGCATACATCTTTTTTCTATAAACTGGTGAAGCAGACAAGATTTCCCAGTTCCTGCATTTCCTATCACAAGAAACTTAAACAGGAAATCTAGAGGGGAGAAAAACAAAAACACAGGTTTTGTTTTGTTATAAAAATGCAAATAACTAATACATAACATTTAAATAGCCAGGTCTCTGCATATATGTTAGTAAATCATAACATTAACCAGACTATATAGGCTATCAATACTCATTATCTAATATAGAGACTAAAGAGGGTATCATAACAATCAAGTAACATCCCAAAAGATAACGTAATACAGTTATTATTGCTGTCAGTGCCTTATTAATTGACGAATCAAAAATAAAACACTTAAGACTAGCGTCGATGAAACATATGGCAGACAGAAAGCTGCTGCCTAGCTGGCACTAAACACAGCTTGTAAGCAAATACTGTGATGAATGAGGTCGGGATACCTGCTAAAAAATCATGCTATGCTGTCGATAACTAGTGTGACAAGACAAAGGTAAAATAAATCACCCTACCGTATGTCTCTGACATGACTGGCGCCGTGCTTCTAGCCTTTTAATACTGCGTTTTTTCAATTTCACATCAATCAACAAGACTATCAAATAAAGGGAAATCCCTAACAGGGTTTCGAGCAACCTTCTCGGAAGTTTGTGCAGCAACTACTTCCTGTTAAGATTTTCAAAATAAAAGTCAAGGGTTCTTTAAAAAAATGCATGACAAAATGCAAATCAATCAGAATCGAACATTTAACTGCCCCGTAGTATATTAGTATTGAATGTAAATATAAATATTAAAGAAGCATTTTGTGTATTTTTTTAAAAACTCTTTCATATACATCTTGAACGTTTAGATATTGCTGACTGAATATGTGCTTTCAAGTAACCACTTGGGGGTGGTAGTTAGTTGTCTGTCTGTGCGTCTGTTTTAGAAAAAATGTTTAAAAAAAAAAATCTCACTTAACTCATGATTATTTGTACCAGATTTTATAAGGCTGATCTTTGTAACTTATACAAGTCAACTAATAGATTGTATTTTGCTTTTATATCCACATTTTATAATTGTTTGTGAGTATGTTACACTTACATTAACCCCAGAATTCCATAAAGCTCAAAACGGACTACACAGGATTGATCAGAAAAAAATTGAAGGGTGAGTCAGAACTTTTTAATTAAGTCAAGATTCAGTACTTGAAAGGATATCATGGATGGCAACAGTTATGACTGATGTAAATTGCCTTAGCTATAAATTGTAGACCATGTCATTCAGTAATGACTTATGGGTGTTATTACACACAAACTTAATTTGGAGCATGTGAAACAAAGGGTAGGCCTATATTACACAAATTAATTCTGTTACAACTTTCTGTGGTGGTAAAATTAGTCCCTTCTTTTCTTTAATTTATCATTTGAAATAAACAGGCAAAAGGTCGAAGAGTTCTTATTGGAAAGCCAACAGTCAATGTCATCGTCATCAAGGCATTCCAGCGGAGACACTTGAAGCTCTTCTAGAAAATCTAAAATCATGTCAACACCCAAAAACAAGGCTGCTTTCAGAATAAGTGCCACATATCTTCTCCAGATGGCTGTGCATTGGTCCTGGGTTATTGCACAATGCCTCAGGATGTATAGACTGCAGATTATTGTTCTGTTCACATGTCCTGTTTGTTTTAGATCTTTCCTGTCTCTCTCTATATGTCAAAGATACATGACTAAACAATGGGATCTGAGCTTAAAGGGCTAGGCTAATGTCCACATTGAAATAAATCCACTCAGTTAACATGCTTTTATAGTAACAAAGTACATTTACTTGAGCACTGTACATAAGTAAACATTTTGAGTATCTGCACTTTTCTTGAGTATTATTTTTTCTGGAAACTTTTTACTTTAAATGAAGACAAAAAGACAAATATCGTAATTTTTACTCCATTATTTCTGTCAAGGTCCTTGAAGAGAAAGTAGTCATCAGGTTGACGTCAGAACCCGTTATCAGATTGATGTCAACATCCAACGTCGGACTCAGAGAGACGTTGGATTTTGGTTGGAAATTAAATTTGGGTTGATATGAGAAACCAATATCAGTCAGGTTCTGATGTCAACACGATTTTCATTTTCAACCACAATACGTCTGTCCAACGTTAGAGACTGACATCAATCTGACGGTGGATTCTGACATCAACCTGACTTTCATTTTCAACGATGGGTTTAGTCTTCTAAATATGAATTATGTCATTCTTTTGGAGCACACTAGCTTATAGATAACAGTAAAGCTTACATAAATATACTAAAAGTAAAAAAACGGTAACGGCCATTTGGGTGTCCAAAACCATTGTGGACGTTATTGAGTGCACTTATTCAATCTCACATTCAATCCCCATACTGGAACTGTGTTATAGAAATAAATTTGATATTGATATGAGGCGATTTCGGACAAAAGCAATCTCTGATTAACATGAATATTATTACAAGCCTCTCTATTAAATGTCATCCTTTTTTTACCTCGTAGGATCGACCAGCCTGTTTGTCTGAACCCCAAGAGGTGTTGAACCTTACGCTACTCCTACATCCTAGAACCTACCCTTTTGGCGTAAATTGACTTGCGTACGGCCGTCTGCCGGAAGCTAGTTATTTCAGTCGATAAAGTTTCAAATATTGATATTTCTCTCACACGAAAACATTGCTTCACTTCAGAAAGCCTTTATTAGTACCCCCTAGAGACATGTGAAGCACTTTAATCATGGATGGATGAGCTTTTATGGACTTCCAAAGACATACACCCATTTACTCCCATTATAAAGCTTGGAAGAGCCAGGACATTTATTTAATATAGCGATTGTATTTGTCTGAAATAAGAATGTCATAAACACCTAGGATGGTTTCAGGGTGAGTTAATCATGGGCTAATTTTCATTTTTGGGAGAACTATCCCTCAAAGGGCATTATCAAGAAATCCCATCAGAGACTATTTTTTGAGACAGCCTAAACAGTTTGGAGTATTTAAAGTGTTAAAGACATAGCTATATGTGTGTATATATATATATATATGCTGAAATGCATTCAAGCAATTGTTTGATGTAATTTTTCAATGTTTGCGTGTTTAATGCGGCATTAGAATTACAGTGTCACCGTAATCTGTGTGTCATGCATGTTAAAGTTCTTCCTAAGCCATATTGTGAGTTTGTGGTATAGAAAGGGAGTGGGGGGGGGGGTACATTCATCCCTGAGGAGCTCTGCTATCACAAGAGTACAATGGAAACCAGGAAGAAGGGAAGTTAACTGTCCTTGGAATCTAAAATTGTCATCACACTGTCTGCACCAGGATGTTATTTTGAAATGTGGGAGGTTTTTTCAGTTCAAACCAATGATTAGAAAGGCTTGCATCTGTGCCAGGTTAAACCTCAGGGCAGAGAATGTGCGATAGCACAAAAACAGTATAATACTGCTGTCACGTCAGGACTTGAAATGCTATTGTTAAGTTTATTTTGCCCGATTTTCCGTCGGAATGTTTAAATGGAGGCGTGCTGACACATTTCAATAAAGGAATGAAATATTAAGTAGTAAATGTGCATGCAATTATTTCTTTGCAGGTGTTGAAGAGTTTGTATGCTATGTAGATTCAGCATTGCTTTGCAGGTTGTTTGAATCTGAGCCATTATACAGTGTATGGAATCAGTTTGTCCTTTATGACCCTAATAGCATAAACAGCACAGAGACAACCAAATTCCTGATTTTTTTTCTATGCCTTGCAGAACAACATATGGCTTGTTATAGCTTAAGGTGACTGGGAAAGCACACCCGAGAGTCATGCATTGAGTTAACAGCGAGGGTTTTGACTGGGTGTCTTCATCTGCAGATCAGTGCGTCATTGTTCTGTCTTTCTGTCTTTCAAATGCAGCTTGCTTCTAAGCAGCGGTTTAGCACAGTATCCTCTACAGACAAATGCTAAAGATTTAACTCAGGGACCAAGTAAAGTAGCACGCTCTAAATCACAACCACTGAATACTGCTGTTGTGTTGCGTCCATAAAAAGGGGAAAGCTGCTCAGAGACTTGACAGATTAACGTGGTGAAAAAGAAGAAAAGCTTCGCTAGACACTAAGCTTACATGTGACCTGTGTTGGATATGTAGGCCTAAATCATTTCTTTGCGAGTTTGGGTAGCAGTGTTTCATTTTTGTGAAGGATTTGTTGTTTTGAACAATTAATTTAAGTGAACTAATCATTCTCGTTCACTCAACTCAGTTCCACAAACTGATTCATATTTTTTTGTTCACTGAAGTAAAAGCTTCTACAGAAATTGATCAGTCCTCTCATTCACTTTAATCTGTATACAGTGAATGACATACATATTGCACTTCTTTCACAGCTTCTGCCTTTGGAAGTGCGTGACTTTCCCTTCTAGCACGAGAAAATAGCATTTGAGTCCGTGCTGTAATGCATTTAATTGGTTGAACCTATAATGAATATATACACGCCATTTATTGAATGATTCTTTAACAGACTGAACAAACAATGATTTGATGAATTGCTTGGAGGGATTATTCAATGACTCACTTATAACAAAGAATTCACCTATCGAAGTTAAAGAGAGAAGTCGCTTGTTCAAATTTATTTTGCTAATATATACAGTATATAAGAAAAAAAGTTTCAAACAAGTACACAGTCAACTGAATGTTTGGGCCTCAGAAATCAGATTAACTCATTCTAAGACTGCATGGGTGACAATACTTGCCATCCAGGTCTGAAAACCTTGACTGGTCTGCGTTTAAAAGTGATTTGTGGGCAGCTCTCTATTGTCAGCATCTAGCAGCCAAACTCACTTAATAATCTGATGTAATATGTATGAGAGAGCTTGGTCATTGGACATTCATCCTAAAGGTCACAGCTGAGCTCAGCTGAAAAAGAGTTGATGTTAGCTACCTACGATCTCAGTTATCTCCAAACTGACATGTAACACTTGTTACTTGAACATGTATGCAATCAAACTGCAATAGTTTAGCTGGAAAAACACCTCCATTCCTTTTTAAAAGGCTTTTTAATTGAAAGCACTCTTTCATGCAGCCCTGCCTCCAGAGCACTTCATGGTGCAAAGAGTTCACCATTGTTCCCAGCACATCACTATTGGAGACAGACAGCCTGGGAGGCAGTGGACAGACGAACAAGAAAGAGAGAGAGAGAAGGAGAGGGGCTGAAAAGAGAGGGATGGAGGAGGCAGTCCTTGGCCTTGTTTTGATCACTCCAGCTTTCATTAACCTGGCACAAAGCTGGGATGGGATCATTTGGCATGTCTGTCGGGTTACTGTGATTCTATGATCGCTGCACTGCTTCATCACTGAGCACTGGTCAGAACAGGTTAAACATTCACCTTGCACACAGGACTCGTCCGTTCTTTATGACGTAACTTAAAGGGTTAGTTTCCCCAAAAATGAAAAAAGTGTCAATTACTCACTTTCATGTTCTTAAGACTTTCGTTCATCTTCGAAACACAAATGAAGATTTTTAAAATGAAATCTGAAAGATTTATGTCCCTCCATTGACAGTCCACGCAACTACCACTTTGTTACTTCAAAAAGTCCATAATGAGATCAGTTTAGTCCAAATTTTCTTAAGAGACTGGAACATTTTTTATGATGAACAGACCACCAAATCTCCAAGAGTCGGAT